TTAGTATGGGTTAATACTAACTATAAATAGATGGCACCTCAACCCATGGAGACCATTCTTCAGTCACCTACATGGCCTGCGTCATTGGCAACGTTTGTTACACAATGTTTGATGTGGGACCCACGTAACCGTCCAACTTCCATCCAGGCTCTTCAACATGAGTACTTCAAAGATGCAGTGGATCCTCTCCTTCCTCGATCAAACACACCGTCACGAATGCTCCGAAAGCAGTCTGATCTTGTAACAAAACAATCGAGGGACTCGATCACAGAGGTTCAGCCTACGCTTGAAAAGAAGAACTCATGGTTCCGAAAGTCATTCATCGGTACAGTAAGAGGTGATGGCGTTGTTTCCCCACCCCCCACAACAACAATAGACCGTGACTTCAAGCCAAAATCAGAGAAAAGGAGTACATGGCATGCCCAAAAAGTACCAGCGGCAGGTGCATCAACCAGTGCAGCACCAATGATGATACTGCCTACAATCAGGCCAGTATCCCCATTGAGCGACACTGTTTCTGTTGAAGCTGCTAGACAACGGAGGGAGAACCAATCACCTTCTATGGAAAAGGAGAGGAGAAGAATGGAAGAAAAGACAGTAAAGAAACTTGGCCGACAGTTGTCAGTGGCTTCAACGAATTCACAGAGTGGCAATGGTTATACAAACGTGCATGTTGCAATGGCAGCTGAAAGGTTGAATGGCAACGCGAATGTAAATGGAGGTTTGGCAAGCCCACCCTCGGCAGGTGCGCAAAAGGAGAGTTTTTTTTCTCACTTAAGAAAGCGCGCGCGGAGACTATCTGGAAAAAATGGCGGGCTTCCTGGAAGTCCAGGCGATGAGGATCTAGAGGCTGGGATTGGTTGTGGCATTGCTTGGGGGGGTAATGCAGGTGGTGGAAGCAATAGGAGCAGCATATTGGTGGAGAGTCCCAGCGAGACTGGAGCATTTGATAGGGCTATTAGGGACGTTGATGGCGTGTTGGACGATTCAAACAGCTCTACATACTCTGGCAGCAAAGGGACCAACCCCAACTCCATTCGACGAAACTCCAGTTTCCCACCTACCCCGGGCGGATCGCGTGGAGAGGCTGTACCAAGCAGCGGGGTTGTGGTGGCACCAATCAGTTCTAGGACGCGACGAAGTGTACGGAATGCCAGACAAAGATATGAAACTCCGGATGAGAACGACGAACTCGTCGATGAGGTACTTGCCGCTTCCCGAACAGAAAAAAAAATCCCCAGGCGAACATCAGCCCATGATGTAAGGGCATCGAGCGGTGCCCATGCCCCCAATGGATACCCAACACCAAACCCACGTGTGGGAAACCGGGCTAACAGTTATTCTAAGGCGGTCGATGTTCTGGTCCGAAGGAGTAGGAAAGACGATGATCTGCAACAACCAAAATGGCCCACACCACCCAGCGAAGGTGACGGATGGGGCGCTTATACGGAAGCTATCGCTGCGGGGCGGTAGGGTGATTAGGTCTACGTTTAGCAAGACGCTTTCAACAAATCAGTTTCATTTGTTTTTGACTTGTTCCTTTTTTTTCTTTTTTGACTGCAAATTGGTATCAGGTTTCGTCTTTATTTCAACCAAAAAGCGGTGAAAAGGCTGAAAATATTACTGAAAAGAAATTGCTGGGCATAAGGAGTTTTGTTTCTTTTTTTTTTCCCTGTGTATTTTCCCTTTCGAATTATGTTGTGCTGGTGGGGTTTTCTCTTTTCTTTCTTGGATGCATCATCATTGAGTCGGTTTTCATCGGTCTATCTTCGCATTTACCTACTTATTATTATTTTCTTCTAGCTTTTTTTTTTATACCTTTAAGGCGACTAGTATCTATATTTTCTGAACTTTCTCTACTGGCGGATCTGGTTTTCTATACCCTTTCTTCCTTTTTGTTCTTCCTTTTGTTTGGTCAATATGCCTTTGTGTTTCGATAGTTAGTTTAGTAGCTGTGGTGATCGCACGCGATCAGTCAGCCTAGTTGTGCTTTGGAGTCACCATTTTATTTATTTATTGCTATTTTCCCTTGTGATTTTCCTGTGTTTCTTTATATACCTCTCTTTTGTTATTTTGCGTGTGCGTATGTATGTGTGCGTGTGTGCGTGTTGTGTGAAATTTCTTGCTATCTCTCCCTACTTTTCCTTTTTTTTTTTATATATATATATTGTCCTCCTTACTCTACCCTACTCCTGTCTACTCTACTCTAGGCCTCGATACTAGCCGACCCTAAATAACCATAGTTCACTTCGCTACCCTCCCACACAAAGGGCTGGGTATGAGGAAAAAATTCAATGCAAGATACTTTTCCAGCAGTGGAGAATGTCATGATTTTGGTTTCATCTGTAACCCATTTTTCCCTACATTCCAACCAATTGAAGTGTAAGCCAAAAGTAAATAAACAAATAGAGTCCGTGTTCTTTTTGTTTTGGTCCAGCCCAGTCCCGCGCACAATGCTTGGTTCGTGACGGGCGTACCCGTACGTACGGAGGTGAAGTCCGAGCTAGAAACCAAAACAGCCAAAGAAACACCAGCCTCCTCATTCTCCTCCGCCCTCCCCCGTATCGTCGTCGGTCGGTGAGAAAAAGCAAAACCCTAACAATTCGGCTCGGCTCGCACATGGATGGGAGGGGAAAACGGCAAGCGCAGCTCTATTACGGGAGACTGGGGAGGGGGGGGGGTACTTTTGAGATGTCACGATGCCATTTAATTTCCTGTTGCTTTTTGCAATTTGTGGTCCTTGTTTGAAGTTTTGATTATGTAGGATTTTTACTGGGTAGAGGTGAGGTTGTGAGCCAATTAGCGGTGCAGCTAGGGGGGTACTGCCAGTAGTGTATGTATGTACATGTATGTATGTAAACATTGGGACTGGAGAGAGCTTTGTGACATGAGGTGACTTGATATGATGGGACGAACTGGACCTGGGCTTTTGCAATTTGTTGAACTCACTATCCAGTCAATCGCTTCCCCCCCCCACCCCCCCTTCCCCTCGCGCTCACATAGAGTATGTAATTGTACATACATGCCTAGGCCGGCTGACAGTGGGCTGGACTCTACATTCAGCACCACTCAGTAGTGGCACTCACATCTCTAGAGATCCTTAGGGACTCCATGGGCTGGTACCTACTCTAGGTTCAATCCCCAAGCGCCCCGACAAAAAAAAAGCCTACCGATTTACCGATTCCGATAACGGGGGTGGAAATGCCTATTGAAGCACTCACCCCCTCCTCTCAGTTCTCTATTTGGCGAAGAGAGGGGTGTCGTGAGGAGAGGAGAGTCATGTCATGTCACTCTACATACATACACATGCAGTAGTGAGTATGTAATGTACCTCTAGACCAGCAGACGCGTGACAGGGCAAAGAGAGAGAGAAAGAAAAAAAGCTTTGTTCCTTGCAGTCAGGTCTGTTTGGAGGGATTTATCGGCAATCTGGTATGTATGTAGTAGGGTCCGGGCACCCCCCCCCCTCTCTCGGCTCTGACAGTATGTAAATACATACTTTATTCTCGGTACCTTGATTGTTTTTTCTAAGGGGGATCGAAGGGAGACGAAAGGGAAGGAAAGGGGGGGGGGTTCTTCATGATCTTAGTTTATGTTGCATACCGGCCTGATAAGATCGTCGATATACCGGTCGAGTTGCAACTCTACGGGCCCCCAGGCGAGAGTGAGAGAGAGCAATTTAATCGAACCTACATACATCGAGCAGAGTACACCATCCTGCTGTATGTATGCAGTAATCCACCGACGGTGCTGCATGCGTGTACCACGTGAATCGCTCAACCTGCAGGCAGTGGGGCGGTTTTAGCGTTTTGCGGGGAAACAAGAAGGGGGAAGGTGCTTCCGTTCCAGGATTTCTTGTGGGGTGGCGTTTTTTGGAGTATATGCCGAGCAAAGGGAAAAAAAGGGAAAGCAAACATCATATTGCAGAGGAAGTACATAGGTAATTCTCCGCTAATTGTGCGGGAAAAAAAAAAGAGAAGCTTCGAACAGATGGGAATGTTTCCATGTCATGTCAGGCAAAGCAGGCAGGCGAGTTGGCAAACAAGGCAAACAAGGCAAGGAAGGGAATGGAATGGTGTTGTTTCTTTCTTATGCCATTCTTCTCGAACCACATCAAATTCCCAGACGGGCGGATATCGACATTCATCCAAACGCGATTCCCCCATCTCTCTGCCGACATTTCCAACTCGCTCCACCAAACAACAACACAACGCCCTTCCTCTCCCAACGGTGAAGGTTTTTTCTTCTTTCTTTCTTTCTTTCATTTTCGGCAGCCGAACGCGGGGATTGACTGCAACTCAGGCAGCCACTGATTCTGGTCTCTGCGCCGCGGTCGCCGCGCTTATCTCGCTGAATTTCATTTCTCTGCAGCAGGGTCTTTTTTTTTGAGCCTCTTGCGGGTAGATTCCCTACGTACAGTCACTCACGGGGTGAAGGCGGATCCTGTCTGATGGCGGTCAGGGATTTGGGGCTAATAGTAGAGTTAAGTTTGGGACGCCTAGAGTAAATTACTACGGGCACAACCACCAGACAGGATCCGCCGTCACTAGGTGAACGACTGTACTCGCGGCAGCAGCGAGGCCTAAAGGGAGTCTAAAAAAAAATTTGGAGCTGGTGTTTCAGTTGAGATGCAGAGAAGGGCGAATCCCCATACGCAGACCTGCGTCGTGATCCCCAACGCATATCGCCAACCAGGGCCAACCAACCGCCATTGCGCTTTCCCACCGCGTTTCAAACGAGTTTTATGTCACAACCGTTTATCGCTCATCCTGCATTGCTTTTTCCACTTTTCATGAGGCCAGAAAATAATTCACTCACGGTCGCGCGTGACTCTCAAAACCGTCCGTTAATCCTACTGGCCTTCCTTAAAAGTGGGGTGGGTGCATGTAGATCCCTCATGTATTAATGTAGCGAGACGAGTGAGCAGACATGATGAGCATGCTAACCCTAGCCCTCAATGAAAAAGGTTGTTAGGTTCTTAAGCGGAAGAAGGCTACCAGGACACTGTGGTGGAGTGGTTAACACGTTCGCCTGCTATTCTTAGGAAAGTGTAAGCGGATGCCTTCGGGCGCGCGAGTTCGAATCTCGTCGGTGTCGTTCCCTTTTGTTCTCTCGATTTTCTCGGATGCTTGAGAGTTGAATGCTGGGTTGACAGGAGACCCTGCATGGTGTTGGTTGGAAAGTTTGTTTTTGCGGTGGTGATGATTCTCATGAAGTGCCAAGAGATGTGCAGATGAACGAAATCACCAACCATCGACCCAGAACGCTCCCAACACCGCCGATCTGAAGAGAATTGCGTAATCCCGGGAGAGACAGTTTCCGGAGCGGAACGTTACCAAATCGAGTGAGATCGCATGATTGCGTTTCAAAATCTTAAATACGTGCACGTGATTCATCGGTTGCGTGGTGTAGTGGTTATCACATCTGTCTCACACACAGAAGGTCCCCGGTTCAAGCCCGGGCGCAATCAGTAATCTTCATCTCTTTTTGCTGGTTTTGGGGGGGGTTGGGATGGACATGGGTATGGTGGTGGTGGTGCTGGACGGGATTTTGTTATTGTTGTGTTGTGTTGTGGCTGGGCGGCGGTGAGGAACATATTAGATTTGCCGAGCGTGGCCAATTGGGTATGGAATGGTGAAGAAAAGTATTAGATCGATGCCTTCCTTCGACTCTGGGGCTGCTGTGGTGTTTAGGGAGCGGGAATTGTGGAAAGGCAGGTCCTATGGCATGGGATCGGGCTGGCTGGCCCATGCTGGAGAAGATTTTGACGAGCGTTATCGATCCCCTGGAGAACTGCCGTGTTATCTTCTCCTTCCAGTTGGTCAACTATAAACATCACAGGGTATTTGTTGAGTCCAGTATCTTGTGAGAATGTGACACTTCGCTGGTATTGATAGGGTGTCGAGTACAAGATAGATGCTTTTAGGGCGGGACTAACTAGGTGTTGAATGAAAAGGTGGCGGGGAGGGGGTTTTGGGTTGTAAGTGGGGTTGGGGTGATGACTGGGTGGTAGTGGTAGTGGTGGTGGTGGTGGTGATAATTTAGTGGCCATGGGCGGCGGTTGGGTGCATCTATGCGGCCGTGGAGTTCCGGGGGGGGGGGGGGGGGGGTGTCGTGGCTTAAGAGATATGTTTTTGGTTTTCCGCTCGCTGTTTGGTCGTGGTTGTGGAGAATAAGATGGGCTTGCTAGGGTCGAGTGAGTGATTGATTGATTGATTGTCCATATATGGCTTGCTAGAGTCTATCATGTGTGCATTCTGTAATGATTATCACTAGTGCTTAGAATAGGGGGCCTAAGAATCTGGGCTCTCGCCGTAAGTATATAATTGGTCTACGGAATCGGTGGTTGGGCAAGTAGGCCGTATCGGCTTGCCCGTGGATCCGGAGGACGCCGTTTATAATCGTGCTTGTCAAGCAACCAATTACTCTATATAACCACTTGGACAGCGTATAGGGCACCAACCAATCATACCAAAAGTTAGGTTTTTGGGCGTAGGCTTCTTCGGTGATTGGATGGAGGAAGTCGTTGTGGTCGAGGTGGGGTTTTGGTTTAGGACTCATGAGATATCACTCGACCTTTGGCTTTGGGGGGTGGTTCGGAAGATTTACGTCTAGATTTGGAATGGGGGGGTGGGCATGTATTTAGGGGTAAGCACTGGCCTTTAGATTGTTTTTCTTTTGATATATACTTATACTAACGTCTGCGAGAACCAAATTGATAAGTCCCTAAGCTTGGCAGTAGAGTCCAGGCTAAACTTTTGCGATTGACAAAACATCAATTGCTATAATTGACACTTGGCTAATGTATATTACTCTCTAATAGAAGAGAGAAGAAATAGCTCTAGATATTATGGTCAATGGATCCGGTAGCTGTTCGCTCCTTTCCCGGATGTACATCTACGCAGAGCACTCGTTCTCGTTCCTCAATTACCAATATTCACGACCACATCTCCACCACATCACTACCTAACTCCCAAAGACCCTCACAAACACCCTTAAACCCTCTCCAAGCCACCCTACCCCCAAATCCATAACTTCATCATCCGCAGCCCCGCCGTCCCGAGAAAAACATTCGCCAAGGCCCCACGCTCGATCTAGGCTAGCTAGCCAGCCTACAGCAACACCACACTGCCGCTAATAAAATCTTTTTTAATTAAGCAGCACGGAGAACGACAAACAGCTGGTTTCGTGGTGTAGTTGGTTATCACACAAGTCTAACACACTTGTGGTCCCCGGTTCGAGCCCGGGCGAAATCATACTCTCCTTTTTCTTCCTGCTTGGAAGGTGAGGAGAGCTTTCTTTTTATGTATAGTAGGGGATTAGGAGGTATAGTATGCGTACGTATAGTTTGGGGAGGGGAGGGGAGGGGAGGGGGGGAGTTGGTGCTTATTGTGATCAGTGGAGGTGGTGGGGGAGGTGGCGCGAGAATTGTTGGGTTCGAAAATGTGGTACTCTCTACGTCGAATTGTGAGTTGTTAATACTACTACTAATATGGAGCGGTAGATGTGGTGGGAGTAACTTTTATCACCGGTGGGTGGTACAAGCAGTGAACTCCAGCCCCTTGTGCCATACTATATACATACATGTATGTATATATACTACATTAGTGCATGCTCAATAATTTCCCAGTACCAGTGGTACTATAAACACCGAATTTCAGTCTTCCTGCTGTGCTATACACATACAGTACCAAAGAAGGGGGGCGTAGCACATGGTACTGTATCAATACAGGATTAATTGTACAAATCTTCCGGATTAAATCGGGATCCTAACTATTATACCGTACGTAGCAGTGCCGTAGCAGTGCCGTATAGCCTTGCAGTATTCCGCTAGCTGCGGTTTTTCGGTACCGCACTTTTTGTATGTACATTATACTACATAAGTAAAATTAAATGTTCAATTATTAATGAAATTCCCCGCTGTTGGTGGCACTATATGGCCCCCCCGACCCCCCCCCCCAAAAAAAAAAAAAACCGTGCTTTCACCATAGAAGGTATGTATAAATGTTGGTATGTACTTACCTAGCTATAGTACATGTATTTTCACCGCCAGTGGTAAATATTATATATTACTGTCGACACATTTACCGCCCCCCCCCCCCCCCCCCACCCCATATACTTGTACTATCACAAACAAAAAGAAAAGGGAAAGCGCAATTCCAAGTTTTCCAATTTTCCTCACGCATGCCCCGTCTACATAGAAGAAGGAAAGGAAAGAAAAGAAAATCGGGATTAGTACTGCGTGTAATACTGCTTAACTCGGGCCGTCGTGCGTATACGGACGATCGGGGAAATCAGCGCCGAGGCCGAAGGCGTATACTTTGTACCTCCATATCGAACAGGCTAATATCATAGTAATATGCGCTCCTGGATGGGGGATGTTGTTGTGGCCCTATTGGGAAGACCGTGTGTGGTCGTGATATTAAGAGATTAGATTATAGGTACTTGCAAGTTTAGGTCCGTGGGTTGTGTTGTAGGGGTTGAGCAGGCGGCTTGCAATTTTGGATCGATGGCAGTGTGGTTGACGAGGTAGTAGTTGGAGTGGGGGGGCAGTGGGGGGGGGGGGGGGGTCAATGGTGGAGGAGGCTGGAGTGAATGGTTGGAATTAGGGCGGTTTTGTAGCGCGGGTATGTAACATAAAACAAGTAGGGAGGCCAGGCTTTGGGGGTACATTCTCGGTTTGGTTATGGAGGAATACTTGATCAATCAATCAATTTGATCATTACCGGGACAGACCTTTGCCAACTGCATGTATCTACTTGCAAGTAGCTACTAGGGTAGATCTTTGTTGATAACTACATCTACAGCTTGTAAGTAGCTACCGCGGCAATTGCTATACGAGGGACAGGCAGGCAGGCAGGCGGACAGACAGACAGACAGTATGTATATATGTGTGTGTTTAGGAGCCCTATTACGAGCAAGACAAAAAGGGGGGGGGGGGGGTGATGATGGCCTATTCTATATATATAGCTAGGGACTGAACCAAGGGAGTGAAGAAATCGCACCTCTATTTTTTCCCAGACCAAACCCAAACACCGGAGAGTGATAAAAAAAAAGGCAAAGACTGGTAGAGACTACATGTATGCATGTAACCACTGTATATTTACAAGCTTCAGAAGGCAGGGGCATTTATTCGTCTCGGTCGTGGTTCTTACATTTTCTTTTCAGAGCTTCAGCGTGCCCTCAAGAACCCTCGCCATCTCGCCCCACTCCATCCTCCCCCTCCCCTCCAGCTCGCGATACAGCACCGCCATCTCCCGCGGCCCCACACGCACATACCACCCCGCCTCCGTCACCACTGCACACACCCCACCCCCCTTCACCCCGACCATCCCCTCCGCCCTCAACACCCCCGCCACCCACTCGCCACTCCTCCCACCGCCCACCCCTGCCGCCAGTGCCCCCAGCTCCCACGCCCCACCCTCACCCTCACCCTCACCTCCACCACCCATAACAATCCCTTTCAAGCACTGCACGTCGCGGCGGTGCCGCTCCTCAGCCGCCCGCTCCTCCGCCGCCCGCGCGGCCCGCGCAGCTCGCACCCGCTCGTCAATCTCCTCTTCGACCAGCGCGCGCCGCCGCTTCTCGGCGAAGACACGCTCATCGTGGTCGGCGGCGGTGGCGGCGGCGGCGCGCGTGCGCGCCTCTTGCTGCGAGAGCTGGAACTCGTGGTATGCGCGGCGCTGGTCGCGGGAGGCGAGTGAGCGCGCCTTCTTGGTGCCGACGGTGCGGGTGCGGGGGGCGGCGACGGGTGTGGGCATGGGTATGGGCATGGGGGGGTTTGTGGGGACGCCCTCGTCGCCGGGGCCGGGGACGTCATCGGGGGAGGGGTCGACGAGTTCGGGAGAGGGGTCGACGAGTTCGGGGGGGCCCTCGTCGTCGTATTCTTCGTCGTATTCTTCTTCCACTTCCTCCTCCCCCTCCCCCTCCTCCTCCTCTTCCCCGGGGAGTGGGACTCGCTCGAGCTCGGGGATGAGGCCGGAGCCGCGGCGGAGGTGGTCGGCGCGGTCGAGGATGTAGAGGATCAGCGCGGCGATGGCGAGGAGAGGGGAAAAGAGGACGAGATTGGCGAGGAATGGTGTCATCTCTGCGGGAGGGGTGCGGGTTCTGGTGATGTCTGTATGTAGTGACTGGTCTGCTTGTAGTAATATCGGGGTTGGTGCTGCTGCTGCTGCTGCTGTTGTTGGTGGAGGTTTGGCGTTCGAAGCTGGAGGCCTTACGGTGACGATGACGTCTGGGAGGTTCGAGGTCACGTGCGGGGAACCCTAGCCCTAGAGGTGCTGTATATTGGGGTTGGTGATGATGTTGGTGATGATGATGGTGATGAACGAGTGTTTCTGAGATGTCTTGCGCGGAGATGTCGATATATCGGAGAGTGTGTCTTGATCAACAAGAACCCCGCCCCGCCATTGAATGGGCAGAGAGCATGGATCGACACGAGTGACCCTCTGTGCTCCGTGGAGGTGCTCT